GTTTTTTTGGCCTCCCAGAGGCTTGACAAAAGCTTCTCGCAGGCTTTTTGCAGGCCGAATAATTTCATCACTTCCGGAACGGGCCTATTATTTAGCCTGCAAAGGCTTTTTTTCAAGCCTCTGGGAGGCCCCAAAAACGCCTCAGATCAGCCGAAAAATCGGCTGTGAGGCGCACACATGCGCAGTGAGGTAAGTATGCCCGCGGCTTGTGTGCTGGCACTAATGGCTCTGCGCGCCACAGGTTCGCCATCACGGGTATAGGGTCTCCTGTTTAGGCAGGGGCTTGGACTAGATGACCTCCAAGGTACCTTCCAACTCTTTTGTTATTCTACTCTATATATTCCAAAGCCGAGGCTTCATTTAACTTTTTTATAAACATGTAAAGTAAATTTTACAATACCGGTTGTAGATTTCTCCAACATGGAGCAAACTCAAACAGAAGCAGACATGTTACTGGTTCAGAACAGAACAGCCACTCTGGAGCTCAGAAACAGGCATCAGTTTCGCTTTAGTTCAGCAAGTAAGCAAGTTAGTTTCTCTTTCACTTTAGAGCTGAGCACAGAACAGAGATAAACCAGGCCCAGATTCTCTCTTTTTAAGTTTCAGCCCACAATTTAGCTCTCGTTGGTTGATTTAGTTGTTATGCCTGTTCATTGGCTGACCTTGTTACCGTGCTCTATTCCAGTTCACGGATATACTCTGACAAATTGCTAGAATAATCATTAGTACAATACTACAGGCAGTATTTGTTAACCACAGCAGCTTTCAGATGGGGGGGACTTCAACTCCCACAATTCCCCAGCCAGCTTGAATTGATGGGGGGACTTCAACTCCCACAGTTCCCCAGCCAGCTTGAATTGAATTCCCCAGCCGGCGTTTCTTAACCTCAGCAACTTTTAAGATGAGTAGACGGCCACTCCCAGAATTCAGCAGCCAGCACCGCTCGCTGAGGAATTCTGGGAATTGAAGTCCACTTATCTTAACGTCCTTAAGGTTGACCAATACACTTCTAAGGCAAAGAGGTGGGGATGGGAATTACCGAGTGCTGCCTCTGCTGTAGGATTTGGGTCTGGGGACCAGCCATGGTGGCATCTAACAGATAATCAGAGTTGGAAGGGACCTTTATAGGTCATCTAGTCCAGTCCCCCCACCCAAGCGAGAGACTCTACACCCTCTTCTTATCCCAAGTGCCAATTCTCTTCTCTTTTCTTCCAGATCTATCTTCATTGCCTTCTCACAGCTTGGAGCCAGAAGCTTCCTACAACCCCTGGGAAGAAGATGTGCATCTTTGACAGCACCTCCTCCAGGTGAGCTCCCAACCCTGAGCATCTCTTGACCTTCCATTTCTGACCCAACCAAGGGCAGCTGCAGGAAAAGGTAACGACTCTTGATCAACTGGGCACCGGAGAACATGGCAGCCCCGTGGATGAAGTTTTCGTAGCAATAACATGGAAGTTCCTTGCCACTGGTTTTTTTTTTCTTTCCAAGATGTCTGCTTTCCCCCCCCCTCCAGTCTGGCCAACAGCCCAGAAATGGTCTGGAGTTTCTCCTCTGAGTAGCGATCAAGTTTAGCTTTCAAAATCAGTCCGCGGAGATTCTCAATCATCCAGGTCATAGCTGTCTCAAAAGTGCTTTTTTCCTCTCTCTCACTTCAAAAAGCAACTTTTTTTCCTTGAGGAGGAGGAGGAGGAAGGAGAAGAAGGAAGGAGAAGAAAGGAGAAGAAAGGAGAAGGAAGGAGAAGGAAGGAAGAAGGGAGGAGAAAGGAGGAGAAAGGAGGAGAAAGGAAGGAAGGAAGGAAGGAAGGAGAAGGAAGGAAGGAGAAGGAAGGAGAAGGAAGGAAGAAGAAGGAAGGAAGAAGAAAGAAATAATTTCACTTCTCATCCAAGAAGCTTCATCAATTCTGATGGTGGGAGGGGGATGGAAGGATAGGTGCAACTAATTTAATACCTGCAGGGCTTCACTTAACCACTGCAGCAAAAAAGGTTGTAAAACAGGGGGGGAAACTCATTCAACAACTAGAAACTGTGGAATCGGTGTTGGTCGTAAGTTGGAGGACTACCTGTACATACAAGGCAGTGGTGGGATTCAAATTTTTTTACTACTGGTTCTGTGGGCGTGGCTTGGTGGGCATGGCAGGGGAAGGATATACTGTAAAATCCCCCTTCCCTCCCCACTAACCTGCTTTCCAGCTCCCTTCTCCTGGGCAGGGCAACCAAAGAAGACCTAGCCGATCAGCTGCGACTCAATGGGAGGCAGAGAATAGATGGGGTTGACGGGGCCAGTTAGAGGCGGTATTGGCTGGTTCTCTGAACAACTCAAAATTTTTGCTACCGGTTCTCTAGAACCGGTAACAACCGGCTGAATTCTACCTCTGATACAAAGTCATCACCTTCAGGAAGGCCCCAAAGGTTGGGATTGCGTTATGATTCAGAGGATGAATGTTTCCTAAGGATGTTCTGTCTATGCGGTTCCTTGACAACAGCCTTAGAAATAGTAAGAGTTGCTTTTGGATTATTTTCAAAAGGTGGAAGAATCTGGACGAACTCTCCAAGTCATCAATCTGCAACTGTTGTGACAGCTACTGCCACCAGGAACCCGCTCCTCGTGGGAATCTCAAAGGTACCTGCTGGTCTTCTGTATTTTATTATTTTTAAGCCAAATGGCAACAAGTTCCACCCAACGTGAAAAATCACCCACTGTGATTTCCATGTTCTGAATTTTGTGTGTGGTGTGAACGTCATGCCTATCGTTTATAAACCATGCTTTTCTTCTTCTTCTTCTCCTCCCCTACTCCCTCCTCTCCTCCTCCTCTTTTTCTCCTTCTTCTCCTCCTTCTCCCTTCCTTTCTTCTTCCTCCTTTCTTCTGCTTTTTTCTCCTTCCTCCCTTCTTTTCCCCTTCTTCCTTCCTTCTTCTTCTTCCTCCTCCTCCTCTTCTTCCCTCTTCCTCCTCTTCCTCTTCTATCACTTTTGCTGTTGAAGAAGTCCTTATATTTGGATCTAGTTAAGAGCCAGTTTGGTATAATGCTTAAAGGTATCCGGCTAGATACTGGGAGACTGTGAGTTCTAGTCCTGCCTTGAGCATAAAGTCAGCTAGGTGATTCTGGGCCGGTCACTTCCTTTCAGCCCTAGAAAACAATGTTTCTCAAACTTGAGTGCTTTAAGATGTGTGGACTTCCAACTCCCAGAATCCCCCAGCCAGCTATGCTGGCTAGGCCAGGGAATTCTGGAAGTTGAAGTCCACACATCTTAAAGTGCTCACGGTTGAAAAACATCATCCAAGAAGGAGGAAATGGCAAGTTGCTTCTGAAAAACCTTGCCAAGAAAACAACAGGGAGACATCTCCAGGAATCGGACATAATTGAATTGAAGGAAAAATAAAAACAACAACCTGGATGGCCAAAGGTGGTTAAGCCATAGAGCGGGCTCCACAGCTCAGCCTAGAGTGGCTTCAGAACCTTCTGAAGACTCCAAATTGCTTCCCCTTGAAGCTCAGATGCACCTTGAGTTCCTACAGAAATTTGGGCGAATATTTGCTGCTGTGTTTTCCTTGGTTTCCCCTTTCCGCCACTAAGCGTGGGGTGCTTTCTCCCATTCAGGGTTTCTAGGTGAAGGGATATCACGCAGAGAACTCCTTGGCCCACTCAAAGTCCACAAGCAAGACGTTTCCTGGCTGGAAGGTTGGCATTTTTCCGGATCCTTACTTGTTAGTCACTTATGGGGCAGGGTGGAGTTTTGACCATTTTCCAGATGTTTGGCCTTCAAACTCCCGGAATCCCTCATCCCAATTCCGGTAAGGATTCTGGGAATCGCAGTCCACACCCCAGGCGAGGTCCGAGCTGGAGAAGGATGACCCAAGAAGCCCGTGGACGAACCTCTCCCTTCTTCTCTTCCGCAGGGAAGTGCCAGACCATGAAGAGGATGTTACTGGTGAGCGTGGCCTTTGTCTGCAGCTGCATCTTGGCGGCCTTCTTTGTCGGGGTCCTCATAGCTTTGGTCATGGCCGTGCTGCGCTATTACGGCGTGGTGGCCAGGCCCAGGTGGCTGAGGGACCACAAGGAGCAGCCTTTCCACACAGAGCTACAGACGATGGTGGGCGCTTGCCTAGAGCCCGAAGAGATGGAGAAGGAATCCAGCGTGGATTCCTGCAAGCACAACAGCGAGACCCCCCAGAAAGAATAACCAAACGGTGGAGGTGAGGATTAAAAAGCACCAGCCAAAATCACGCTAGTCAATACATTCCCCGGAGTCTTAATGGCTCCTGCGTCACTTTTCCTGCAACACATTCAACCACAATCTAGCAGATTAAACACACACACACACCCTTTTTGTTTGTTTGTTTCTTTGTGCTGAACATCTCGGGTGAACTGTAGTTTATTCAATCTACTGCGATATAAATCAATATACTGCAATCTGTAAAGTAGGGTTTTGTCGGCTCGGTTCTTCCAGGGAAGGCTCGGCGCTAGCCGGGTTGACATGTTTTCCCTTAACATTTTTTGGGGGGGAATGGCTGGAGGGGCTTATAATGTGGATGGAAAAGACATTTTAACTCGGGGGGTGGGTGGGAGGGTGAGCCTTTCCTTTTCTCTATTATACAGAACTTACAACTGTTCGGTGTAATACCCAACTTACAACAGTCCATTCAGTGATTGTACGAAGTTGCAGAGGCACTGGAAAATGTGATTTATGACAGTGGTTCACACAACCACTGTTGTAACATCTCCAGAATCACGTGATCCAAATTCAAGACGCTTGGCAAACGGTTCATACTTATGACTGTCGCTGTGCCAAGTTCACATGATCTCCTTTGGCAACCTTCGGACGAGCAAATTCGACGAGGAAGCCAGTTTCACTTAACAACCGGGTTACTGGAACAATTCTTGGACAAGGGTTGCAAAAAAAACAATATGTGGTAAAATGGGGGCAAAACTCCCAAAATAGCAGCAGAAATATTGGTTGTTAAGTCAAGGACGACTTGCGCATGACAGAAATCTGCAATTCTGCGCTATGGTGCTAGGATGTAATGCAGCCAAGAGCCAACGTCGGTTTGTTTTCCCTTTATTTTTAAGACGGCTAAAAGAGGAAAAACTACAGCGAGGTTGGTGAGAAACCAGTGGACCTGAATCAACTCCCAACTGTTGCAAATTTCAGTGCAATTAAATCATTAGCTAATTAACTAGTACAATTCCTCAGTGGATTTCACAGTGTAGGAGAAAACAGTGTGCTTCTTTCTTGCTCATCCTTGCTACTTACTATACACTTATTTAATAGAATTGAAAGGTCACCCAGCTCCAGATCAATTTGGGTGTCTTACATTAAAAAAAAAAAGTAAAGACTTACAATAATAATAATAAGCGGTTTGATTAAATAAGATCCATTTCTTGAAACAAGATCTGAAGATCGAGCTAAAATCAATCCAGTCCAGCTCTTCATTTTGCTCCCCAGCACCCGAACACACTTTGAAGGAAAATCTCATCCTTTTCTTGATTCTCCCCTTCCCCAAAACCCAATCGAACAGATCTGCTACCCTGATCCACATTGAACCAATTTCAAAATAGATCCTAGACCCTGGAGTGAGAGGTAGTGATATGTATATAATTTACATACACATATATAAAAACACCGGACTCGGCATCTCAAAGTGGAGGCGGCTTCTTGTTGCTTTTGTAAAGTTTGCGAAGGCTGGAATCCATTAAGAAATCCACGGACCTGTATAACAGCCAAGTGGAGGGAGGGAGGGACGGAGGGAGGGAGAGAGAGAGAGAAAGAAAAAGAGAAATAAAAGGAAGAAAGGAAAGAGAAAGAAAGAAAGAGAAAGAAAAAGAAAAAGAAAGAGGGGAAAAAAGTGATGAGAAAGATAGGGAGGGAAAAAAGGAAGGAATAAAATAAAGAGTGATGTGTGTGTGTGTGTGTGAGAGAGAGAGAGAGGGAGAGGGAGAGGGAGAGAGAAAGAAAAAGAGAAATAAAAGAAGGAAGAAAGAAGAAAGAAAGAAAGAAAAGAAAGGAAAGAAAGAAAGAAAGAAAAAGAAAGAAAGAGAAAGAAAGAAAGAAAGAAAGAAAGAAAGAAAGAAAGAAAGAAAGAAAGAAAGAAAGGAGAAAAAAGTGATGAGAAAGATAGGGAGAGGGAAAAAAGGAAGGAATAAAATAAAGAGTGATGTGTGTGTGTGTGTGAGAGAGAGAGAGAGAGAGAGGGAGAGGGAGAGAAAGAAAAAGAGAAATAAAAGAAGGAAGAAAGAAGAAAAAGAAAAAAGAAAGAAAGAAAGAAAGAAAGAAAGAAAGAAAGAAAAAAAGAAAGAAAGAAAGAAAGAAAGAAAGGAAAGAAAGGAAAGAAAGGAAAGAAAGAAAGGAGAAAAAAGTGATGAGTAAGATAGGGAGAGGGAAAAAAGGAAGGAATAAAATAAAGAGTGATGTGTGTGTGTGTATGTGAGTGAGAGAGAGAGGGAGGGAGGGAGGGAGAGAGGGAGAGAGAGAGAGAGGAGTATTCATCGACTATTCACCTCCCCTGCCAGACAGACTTGTTAGCCTGCAGTGAGAAACTTTTTGCTGGGGCTAAATGAAGGAATCTTTTGAGTTCACTTCAGAGGGTTTGTCGTGTTTGGGGAGCCGCGTCAGAACAGCTCTGCTCCCCTTCACCAAGAGGCTGGCCCAGCCCATACCTGTCAATAGGCTTAATGATGAAAGGGATGGCCGTAAGCCCAACGGCCGTCGTTGTCCATTTCCTAACCGGGAGTGGCCAGCGGGTCAAGCTGCCCATGAGGTAGAGGGACCCTGCGCAGATGCGGTTGATGGTGAATCCGGGGATGGCCACCGAGGCTAAGCCTTGCCAGATGAACGTGTCCACCATCGCCACGGCCGCCTGCATGGCCCCCCCTTCCTCCTGGGGGTTTACCTGGTCAAAAAGGAAGATTTAGAGAGTTATTCCTTATTTCTCCTTACTGAACAAATCACCGTAGTCTCCTTCCACGGTGGTCTCTCACACGCCAGCTGGGCAGTGGTGGGATTCACATTGTTTTTACTACTGGTTCTGTGGGCGTGGCTTGGTGGGCGTGGCAGGGGAAGGATACTGCAAAATCCTCATTCCCTCCACCCCACTAAACCTGCTTTCCAGCTCCGTTCTCCTGTGCAGGGCAACCAAAGAAGACCCAGCCGATCAGCTGGGACTCGATGGGAGGCAGAGAAGAGATGGGGTTGGCGGGGCCAGTCAGAGGCGGGATTGGCCGGTTCTCCAAACTACTCAAAATTTCCACAACCGGTTCTGTAGAACCGTTCAGAACCGGCTGAACACCACCTCTGCGGCTGGGGGATTCTGGGAGTTGAAGTCCACGGATCTTAAAAACTCGTCGAGGTTGGAAAAAACACGATTTTCCTGCACGAGGAAACCTGTCCCAAGGATGTGACCCTCCAACCTTCATACTTACAGCTGCCATGGCTTTTTTACCCTTGTCGACCGCATCTGCTGTCACGTAGGCCGTGGCCACGCCATAACTGGCCCAGACCACAAAGACGGGCACCAAAGCCCTAAAAGATTCTCCCACTTCATTAGCGTAGCCTGCAACAAACAACAAAGCACATTCAGCTTCTTCTGTCCTAGGCCTCCCCCAAAAACACTAAGCCAATCCTGAGTCCCAGCGAAAACCTCTTTTATTACATTAATGTGAACTTATGTCATTCACAGTCAGCCAACGGCTTGGCAAACAGTCTTGTGAAGGGATACTGATGAGCTCAGACCTTTATCAATCCTGGAACGCTGCCCAGTAAAACTCCACACTCAGTGCTGACAAGGAAGGGCTGGGTTATAACGGACGAAACTTCACGAGGCTGGAACGAACGAACGACTGAACGAGTTGTTTCCTACAAAAGCCCCCTCCCCTTTTGCTTCTCTTTTAATCCCCATGAGGGGGGGCATTCACTGTCCACCTGTGGCCTTACTCCCACGTCGACCCTGAGTTCTTAATTGTGCCTTCCTTTTGGCAAAATTTCCCCCGCCTCACTGCTGCCCCAGCCTAAAGGCAGCTGATGACTGCCAGCCTGCCCCGTCCCCATCTCTGCCTCTGACGCAGAGCCCTTGTCCAAGCCTTCCTCAGCCTCCAGGACTGGCCCAGGTTCCTCCCAACCTCCTCACTGCTGTCTGACTCTGCTGCCAGCTCCACCA